CGTCAAGTTAGTGTACAGATCCGAAGTTAGGATATATTTGCAATCTTGTTCATGCAGACTAAGAATAGAAGCTAACACAAAACAAAGTGATTGTGGCGATGGTGGGTAGAGTAGAGACCAGGCAAAACAGAGTTAACATGCAGAGCGTTGTACCAGATCATGATTTATGACCATCAAAATGTTCAAAATGATAAAGTTTCAATAGAGATTCCAATACCAAGCAAGATCACTCTGCAGTCAGGTTTTATAAGAATCAGTTAGCCACTATGCGTGTTAAGCTATAATTAGAGAGTTGCAATATAAGGATTTCATTTCTTACGAAACAATATCGAAGGCAAGAAAAACTGGCTTTTGCTAGATGACTTCTTTTAAGACTCATTCACTTAAGTGATACAGGGAGTAGCTTTGAACTTGCCTTGTCATCAAAAGTGTCAGCATTCAAGACTGCGTCCATCATGCGCCTTAATATTACACCAGTGTATATGCTCTTTGCTCGCAAGTTCCCATTCTTGACCTGAAGGTGCGATTGACATGAGAAGGAAAGAAGACCGGCTACAAAGCCAAGGTAGTAGAGTTCCCATTATTTATCTCACCGGCACATGCGCCAGGAAATGATTATGTAGGACCTGAAAGTGGCAAATAGAAGGTAATGAAGTAACTTAATCTGAACAAGAACACAAGTTTGCAGCTCTGTTTGCTAGTCTCTACCAATTAGTTTAAGACAGAAATCTGGAAACTTATAGTTAACAGTACATTTCCTGAACCATACATAAAAATTAAGAGAAAATATGAACTTTCAGTTAATACCTTCATAGTTGTTTGATGCGGATACTTCATCTAGAAAAATAGCCAAATTCAGTACATGAAGCCACATTTACATGCAACTAAAACATATAAAACTTAGTAATGATAAAAGGTAAAAGAAATACATCCCTCCCTCATCTGGCCATGAAAAATAGGATAAGTGCAACTGCTTCTTACCAACCAAGTGAAATGTTATTCTTCTAGAAAGATAGGAAGTGCCTCTAGAAATCAGAACATATCAGAAATTGCCAAGACTGCTAAATGAACAGTGAAATTCCTACCACTCCCTCGGGGGATATTACAGAGAATGCATGACTCAGTAATGAAGGGATATACTCTTGCAAAGCTTATGATGCACTTCATGCACTATTTACTGATCTGCAAATTGCTTGGTATAATTCAAACTACAACAAAAGGTTTCTTTAAGGATGATAGTAAGGCACACTTATCGGTTCAAGTTTCACCTTGCCATCCATGTACTGAAGAGCTTGTTGTTGTGTATATATTCCCTCAGAGGCACATTCCTAAGAAAGTAAAACCCATTTAAATAGCCTTAAGTAAAAAAAACATAAGCCCTAGAAGAAAAGAACAAGAAAAAAGGACAAGAGAAAGGTTTAACACTTTTCACAAGATTAAAAGACCAAATAATTATGTAGTCCTTCTGAGGTCTCAACTAACTCAGAAAACAACTACCTGAATAGATAAAAATAGCAAGTCCCCATATCTTGGATCTCGTCCAAGCATTTGTACAACCTCTTGGTCACTTTCCATTCCCATTGCTTTCAAAACAACAATTATAGGAATCTGCGGAATTCAAAGCTTGGAAATTGAGATATGAATGTCAATTACTCCTTGCACATCAATACAGGAATCAAAGACCTTATGCACATTTGTTAAGAAGTTACCAGGTCTGTAGTCAAGGAAAAATACAAGGCTACTCCCTACTCAGAGTCTGCCCTATTCAAGGATGTGACTGCTTAAATTTGGGAACATTAGCACAGTGTTGTCGCGCTCCAAAATTTGGGAACATTAGCTTAGATTCAGAAAGATGTATCAATTGGAAAATAACATCCCGATGTTACTTTTCAATTAGCACGGTCTTGCCGCGCTCCTAAATTTGTGTCAGCATGGATTCTACCGTGATTGGCTTAATCATAAATCATTGTTTGGGCTCATTTCTAGATCTCAGCACTATTGGTCAAGTTCAAGAGGTATTGAACCCTCATAAAAAGCTGTCCATCTAGCTTTATCCTTCCATAACCTATTGCATTCCCGTCCACCATTAATTATAATCTGGCAAAACCCAATGGACCATACCACCAGGGCACCAGCGAACAAGTTACTACTGTAAAGTATTCAAAATAATCGATCCAGAACTGAGTCATTAAGTACAACATTAATTTTTCTGTCATCCTATACTACCAAGGGTTACAAATAAAAAAGATTCATATTATTATTAAATGGAAGAAATGGTTAAAAGACCAACGGGATAGCAAATGCATACCAGCTTAGTGAATTGATTCGAATCTAGATAGATCTTTTTGTTGTCCATGACAACTAGAGTCTTGCTTTTTATTCCATCTGCACTGCTCATAACCGACGCAGTCACCCTGATGAGAAAAAAAAGGCCACCTCGTTATATGAGCCAAAGCGGAATACCCTTCCTCCTTTTCCATAGGTTCTCTCTTTTTATCTTCACACCAAAGATTTTATTAGTGTCCAACATTTCTATTTATAACAGCTGTCTATCCATCAAAATATTTCACTTAAGTAAACTACCCAACCAAGTAGTCAGGAATAGCGAGACACATGTAACTGACAAAATTGATGTCATGTTTTCAAACCCTTAAAACAACAAAGGATATACTAGATGCTGGTACAAAATTCAAAATAGTCGACAAAGGCCACAAAAGGTTATATTCAGGAAGGAGTGTGAGTGTATGACCTTCCTTTACGATCGGTCATAATAATAATATGATTCTTTGGTAATTCTTCTTGTATAAGAATGACCTGCACATGAAAAAATAAGACCCAGTTGGCACTGTTACTATTGTCATCCTATTAGCAGTTGATGATTTAACTACCTTCTCATTTCCTTTCACAATGAAGTAGCCGCCAGGATCAAGAGGGCACTCGCCTACATGCCCAATAGTCAAACTTTCAAAACAAAACAAAAAATGATAACATAAGAAATATCGTTTTTCCCCATAAACAGTCACAAGACCAGAAATAGGCTGACCATATCTTGCTAGTTCATCTTCATCCTTCCCATTCAGAACACAAGAACAGCTTCTGAGCATAATAGGCATGTACCCAATGGTGGCACTTTCCTGGAGTAAATAAACAAGACACAACAGGGATTAAGTTTCTTTGCAACTAAGGTTGTAAGAGGTACTTAAGATTACGTTTGACATATGCATGGAAAATGAGTACTATTATGTGTGGGGGTGAAAATTTTGAACCAGACATTAGATGGGTTACCTCCCGTAGCGTCAGCGTTTTATCCCGTAAATAGGCAGTGTATTCAACATCAACCCTTATGGGGGCAGCATAACTGAAGGAAGAAAAGAAAATCTTGGTAACGGGGAACTTATAATGATGGTAGCAAAATGCACAAATTAACAATATCAACAAGATTCTCAAACTTACGTGCGATCATTAAGACGGCAGAATTGCGGTGTCAAAATATCAGTGCTGTAGTACGGACACGCAAACGGAATTTCGAGATGCACTGCAGTGTATCTGCATCAAAGCAAACTAAGACAAGACTGGAAACACACAAAAAGAAAATAGTGACTGTAAACAAGTGGATAGCTGCATGCCTAAGATAGATGGACGGGTCTTGGGGTGCTACGATGCGGTTATTTGCCATCACAATCTTCTGCATTTTTTTGGTGACGAAATAGTTGAAGGAACGAATTTGCTCCTTCACGAGGCCTCTTGTCTAGCATTTCATCAAACAAATATGTGTGTCAAATCAAGCAAATCAACTGGACCACAACAAAGGGAAATACATGTAACTCACGGATTAGCACCCAAGTCAGAACAAGGCAAAGGGCGTGCTCCAGGCAGCGTGCAGTATTGTCTTGATTCAAATTAAATTGAATGTCCCAGTAACATAATAACATGATCCATGCGGTTTCGGCATTACCCAATCGAACAATCGAGAATAACCGAGGCTTGCTCCAGTTCACGGAATAGCTGGGCGCGCCGTCATTTCAGCGAGGGGGGAGGCGTGATCGGGTTCGGGTAGGGTACATCGAGGGAGGCGGCGACGAGGGGGAACTTGTTGAGGCGGTTGGCGACGGGCGCGGCGTCCATGGCGGGGCCGCTAGGGTTCGCCGATACCGTGCTCGCCGACGAGAGCGGAGGGGAAGAGGAAGGAAGTGAAAGAAAGAGGAGCGAAGTGGGAGAGAGAGGGGGCTCCCGCAGGCGTATGCGGGAAGGCAGCTCTAGTCGCCGCGCAAGAGAGAGGGTGTGACGCACAAAGCGAAGCCCGACTGGGCCGGCCCATCGGCAGGCACTGTAGTAGAAGCGCGTGGAGGGAGGTCCTGTTCGGCGCCTTCTGCGCCGCTTAGCGTTCGCGGCGCTCGCGCAGGTCGCCTAGCGGGCCGGCCCAACAGCCTCCTCTAAAAACGATCGTGGGAGAAAAATATTAGCAGGTTGTGGGATCCGAACCAATGAGCGAGTGTACGCGGCCGAAAGAAACAGCGCAGCAAACCACTCCACCAGGACCACGTTTCTGTCTACAATAAAAACCCAAGCTATTTAATACTCCTCCTAGTACAGCATTAACATCAATACCCCTAAAAAACAGCATTAACATAAATTGTACCATATAAATCATTTCAAAAAAGAAAACATACTAATGAAAAAGAAATCATAGATTTGTAATAAAAGTTCAATTTTAAAAAACGTTCATAGAATTCGAAAAAAAGTTCATCAAATTTTGAAAAGAATACGAATTTGAAAAACTAGTTCAATGATTCTGAAAAATAGTTCACAAATTTGAAAAGGTTCATCGATTTTGAAGAAAAGTTCATCAAAAAACAGTTTAAAATTTGGAAAAAGTTCATCGATTTTGAAAAAAGTTCATCAAATTCGAAAAAAGTTCATTAAATTTGAAAAAAAAGTACATCCAATTCGGAAAAAGTTCATCAAATTTTAAAAAAAGTTCATCAAAATTGGAAAAAAGTTCATCAAATTTCACAAAAAGTTCATCGAATTTCAGAAAAGTTCATGGATTTTCAAAAAAGTTCACAAATTTAAAGAAAATAGCTCACGAACTTTAAAAAATGGCACAATAAAGAAAACAAAAAATATGAAGGAAAAAGAAAAATAATAAACCGAGTTGAAGAACGAAATAAAAAGGAAAAATAATAAAGCGAAAAGGTTGGGAGTTCGAATCCCTGTCGCAGCAATATTTTTCTGACCTCTCGAAAAACAAGAAGACCAGGAAGGAATAACATAGAATGGGCCGGCCCAGTTTGGACTGCTACAGGCGCCCGTTTGCAAATTGCACTGTAACGGGCGCCTGCAGCGCCAAATAGGAAATGCCACTATTACTTGAAAACACTGAACATGTTTTGAAAACACAATCAAACTCAAGTCTGTGAACAGGTTGTTGTGGAAACGCGGTCACTTTTTTAAATTTCTAATATTTTTGAAATTCCGAACATTTATTGAAAATGTGAACAGTTTTCGAAATTTCTGAACATTTTTTTAAAAATGCGAAGATTTTTTGAAATTGGAAAGATTTTTTAGACCACGAAAATTCTTTGAAATTTCAAACATTTTTTGAAATTGTAAAAAAATTTGAAACGGCAAACATCTTTGAAATTCTGAGCGATATTTTAAAATTTTCAAATATCTTTTCAAGAAAATAAATAAAACTTGAAAAATAACAAAAGAAAACCAATAAAAGAACCAACGGGAGATAAAAAAAACTAAACTGGACTGAAACATTCTGGAAGGTTCCTAAAACCGGGAACATATGTAGCACAAATTAGGCTAGCCACAACAATCTGCCGCAAATAAGCAGCGAATAGGAATTGTTCCCGTGTTACGCTAAAAAGAAAAGGAATTGTTCCCGCGTAACGCATTTAGGGGCATGTTTGGTTGCTTGCATTAGGCTCAGTCAGACCTGCTGGATGCAATTTTGGCCCGTCCGATTGACTTTGTTGTATCAGAATCTTGGTCCTACACGAACCTAGCCATGTCCACTAGGAATGGTCTACTCGGTCGTTTCCTCTCAGCCAGGCTCTTCGTGTGTGCTTCCTCTCAACTAGGAAAGTGTTGGGCATCTAGGTGTAAGGGTTTGTAGCAAACATCAATTTCCTTTAAGTGCCCTAGAACCAACAGGAGTTTAGTAAGGCGGGAAATGACCAACACATGCACATGTAGATACAAAACTGCCTTGACCCCCAACAAAACTGTCGAGGTTGCCAGTCTTACTAGTTTTGCTAGCTACAAGGATTAAAAGCACGAGTACATGAAAGATTTAATTGCAATGGAAATGCAAAAGGCATAAAATTGAAAAGAGCGTTTGACCGAGGTTGAATAAGAAGATGGACTAGGATCTATATTTCACTAGTGGTTTCTCTCCAAACAAAAAGCATGTTGTGGTGAAGAAATTACGATTGTGCATTGATTAAATTACAGTTTTTACAACTATGATTATCCATGGAATAATCAACATATGAGCATCACATATCAATATCTATAGACTGTTATTCAACTGCATCTATAGCTAATAATACACCCAAAACCGCTATCCTAGAAGCATATTAAAGTACTAAGTAAAATGAAATAAGTACGATGAAATGAAGTAGATGATAATATTGTCTTCTCCCTACATTCAAAGAACAACTATGCAATCATCCTTTTATCCTTAGTGGCAACAACACAATAAAAGCCATTTCCACTTTGTGTCACTATGGTAGATTACTTACAAGATTGAACTCAACTTCAGTAACAGCTACCTCTTGTAGATCACCCCTCAAACTTGGGCAAAGAAAGAAAGAAAGATCGAAGAGCATACATGAATAAGAATTATGCAACAAACAAATCAAAAAGGTCTCAAAAAGATTCATGTATAAATCTGATCATAAAGTGATAATTCACCATTTCACAACAAACACACCAACATATTATATTTCATGGATCACAATCATGTAGGGTAGTTCATGTGATCTTTGATTGAGAAACATGGAAGAATAAACCAATTGCCTACTGCCATGGATCCATAGTGAAGGAAATATGCCCTAGAGGCAATAATAAAGTTGTTATTTTATATTTTCTTATATCATGATAAATGTTTATTACTCATGCTAGAATTATATTAACCGGAAACTTGATACATGTGTGGATACATAGACAAAGCACAGTGTCCCTAGTGAGCCTCTTCTTGACTAGCTCATTGATCAAAGATGGTTAAGGTTTCCTAACCATGGACATGAGTTGTCATTTGATAACGGGATCACATCATTAGGAGAATGATGTGATGGACAAGACCCATTCGTTAGCTTAGTATATTGATCGTTCAGTTTTATTGCTATTGCTTTCTTCATGTCAAATACATATTTCTTCGATTATGAGATTATGCAACTCCCGGATACCGGAGGAATACCTTGTGTGCTATCAAACGTCACAACGTCACTACTAGGAAAACCCTTACCAGTAGCGCTGTTTTTTTTGCTATTAGTAGCGCGGGCAGGCGCGCTACTGCTACGGCGCTACAACTATTTTTTAGCAGTAATGCTTGTTTGGCCCAGCGCTACGGTTCAGTTGATATCCTTTGATTGCTTGCTTCAATTGGTATATTTTGACTACTTCATTGCTTGTGACTCTTTGTTATGTCTTTGTGGCATATCATTCTTTATCAATATTTGTGCCTCAATATAGTTTGTGCTCCTCCAAGTATTTACCTTTGGGTATGTGTATTGCATTCCACTCTCTTGTTGCGAAATACACAATTTATGGAGGACTACAATTTATATTGGCCTTATTAGTTTTTTGCCCATTTTGGCAATCGATGCCAATGGGGGAGAAGTTTCAGAGAGTTTTATGGAGAAGTTTAGAGAGTTGTCTCCTCTTGCTTTGGTTTTGTTCCTTAGCATTTGCATTTGCAAGTGCTAGGCTTTGTTTCCTATATGCTCACTCGCACTGGTTGTGAGTTTCTATTGATTTTGGGGGAGCTATGATCCTATTTTGTGCACTTTGTATCCAATACAAATATTCTTATTTGTGCACAAATCATGGGGAGCTTCTCTAGTTTCTTTAGAACACTCCTCTGCTCATATCATAATATCATTTATTCTTGTGGCTCATAGGATCCTTGGTCTAGTTGGTTCAGTTGATATCCTTTGATTGCTTGCTTCAATTGGTATATTTTGACTGCTTCATCGCTTGTGTCTCTCTTTGTTATGTCTTTGTGGCATATCATTCTTTATCAATCTTTGTGCCTCAATATAGTTTGTGTTCCTCCAAGTATTTACCTTTGGGTATGTGTATTGCATTCCACTCTGTTGTTGCGAAATACACAATTTATGGAGGACTACAATTTATATTGGCCTTCTTAGTTTTTTGCCCATTTTGGCAATCGATGCCAATGGGGGAGAAGTTTCAGAGAGTTTTATGGAGAAGTTTAGAGAGTTGTCTCCTCTTGCTTTGGTTTTGTTCCTTAGCATTTGCATCTCATTCACATGCACTATTGGTTGTTGCATTGCATGGTGATGCATAATTCCTTATATAAACTCTCTTGAAAGTGTTTGTCATCAATTACCAAAATGGGGGGATTGAAAGAACATGCGGTGCCCCCATGTTTGGTTTTGGTAATTGATGACAATCTCTATGGACTAATGGTTGTCTTGAGTTATATTTGAAGGATTTGTCCATAGGCTTTTCTTGAAGTCCATGTGTTGGTTTCAAGGAGTTTATGAGTTGACCAAGGTACTATTAAGGAATTATCCAAAGATTGGTCATGTGAGTGTTGAGCTTATTGCAAGCATGTCTTGAAGAAGAAGATTGTGCGATCATTCATGTTTACCTTCAAGACATCATCCAAATGAAGAGAGTTGGAAAGATTCAAGGTTGATCAAGACTAAGTCAAGAGTGAATCAAGTTGATCAGCTCACAAAGCATAGAAGATGTACCGAGAGGGATCAAGTGATCCCATGGTATGGTAAGCATTGTCCACTGTACTTTGTGTACTAACCCATGGTCTATGTGAGAGTTCTATGTGGGGTTAGGTACGTGTCCATGGGCTTGCGTCAAGAGGAAGATATCATACAACCCATGGAAAGGATGACATCAAGTGGTGA